CCGACTTGGTCTACATAGTGAGTTTCAGGACAGTCAGGGCTGCATGGGGAGACCCTGTCTCAAAAAAAAAAATAAGAAAGGACTATATTTATGAGTATGGGTGTTTTGTCTGTATGTATGTCTGTGTGTCATGAACATGCATGGTACCTGAGAGGGCAGAAGAGGGTATTGGGTTATTTTCTGGGCCTGGAGTTACAGATAGTTGCTAGTAGCCACGTGGGTGCTGGGAATTGAACCTGGATCCTCTGGAAGAGCTGGTGCTCTTAGCCACTGAGCCATCTCTCTACCCCCACACCGTTGAAGGTTGTTTTATTTTAAATTAATTTGCATTTTATGTATATGGGTGTTTTGTCTGCAGGCATGTCTGGTTCCCATGGAAGCCAAAGAGGGTGCCAGAGTCCCTAGAACGGGAGTTATAGATAGTATGAGCCGCCATGTGGGTGCTGGGATACAAACTCAGGTCCTTTGAAAGAACACCAAGTGGGTTTCACTGTTGAGCCATCTCTCCAGCCCCAACATTCACCTTTTAAAAAATTATGTTTGTAATTATTTATTTTGTGTATGGGGGTGGGTGGGGGGGGGTTAAACATGCACATATGTGGAGGTCAGAGGTCAACACTCAGGAGTCTGTTCTTTCCTTCTATCATATGGATCCTGGAGTTTGAACTCAGGCTTGGCCCCAAACACCTTTATCTGCTGAACCATCCCACCGGCCTCCACCTTGGTATTTTTTTTTTTTTAATTGAGAAAAGGAGAAAAAAAAAAAAACAACAAGTTTCCACCTCCTCCCAGCCTCCCATTTCCCTCCCCCTCCTCCCACCCTTCTCCCCCTCCTCCCACCCTTTCCCCCCTCCCCCCACTCCTTTCCCCCTCCCTCTCCAGTCCAAAGAGCCATCAGGGTTTTCTGCCCTGTGGTAAGTCCTAGGTCCTCCCCCCTTCGTCCATATCTAGGAAGGTGAACCTCCAAACTGGCTAGGCTCCCACAAAGCCAGCACATTAAGCAGGATCAAAACCCCGTGCTATTGTCCTTTGCGTCTCATCAGCCCTCATTGTTCGCCATGTTCAGAGATTCCAGTTTTATCCCATGCTTTTTCAGTCACAGTCCAGCTGGCCTTGGTGAGCTCCCAATAGATCAGCTCCACTGTCTCAGTGGGTGGATGCACCCCTCGTGGTCCCGACTTCTTTACTCATGTTCTCCCTCCTTCTGCTCCTCCTTGGGACCTTGGGAGCTCAGTCCAGTGCTCCAGTGTGGGTCTCTGTCTCTATCTCCATCCATCACCAGATGAAGGTTCTATGATGATATGCAAGATATTCGTCAGTATTGCTCTAGGATAGGGTCATTTCAGGTTCCCTATCCTCAGCTGCCCAAGGAACTAACTGGGGACCTCGGCTTGGGCACCTGGGAGCCCCTCTAGGGTCAGGTCTCTTGCCAACCCTAAAGTGGCTCCCTTAACTAAGAATTGTGGTTCCGTGCTCCCCTAACCCCACAATAGACAAAGGTCTGATCTCCAAAATATATAGAGAACTCAAGAAACTAGACTTTAAAATGCTAATTAACCCAATTAAAAAATGGGGCACTGAACTGAACAGAGAATTCTCAACAGAAGAAGTTCAAATGGCCAAAAGACACTTAAGGTCGTGCTCAACTTCCTTAGCAATCAGGGAAATGCAAATCAAAACAACTTTGAGATATCATCTTACACCTGTCAGAATGGCTAAAGTCAAAAACACCAAGGATAGCCTTTGCTGGAGAGGCTGTGGAGGAAGGGGTACCCTCATCCATTGCTGGTGGGAATGCAATCTTGTGCAACCACTGTGGAAGTCAGTGTTTTGGTTTCTCAGGAAATTCGGGATCAACCTACCCCTGGACCCAGCAATACCACTCTTGGGAATATACCCAAGAGATGCCCTATCATATGACAAAAGCATTTGTTCAACTATGTTCATAGCAGTATTATTTGTAATAGCCAGAACCTGGAAACAACCTAGATGCCCCTCAATGGAAGAATGGATGAAGAAAGTATGGAATATATACACATTAGAGTACTACGCTGTGGTAAAAAACAATGACTTCTCGAATTTTGCATGCAAATGGATGGAAATAGAAAACACTATCCTGAGTGAGATATCCCAGACCCAAAAAGATGAACATGGGATGTACTCACTCATAATTGGTTTCTAGCCATAAATAAGGGTCACGGAGTCTACAATAGGTGAATCTAAAGAAGCTAAGTAAGAAGGTGAACCCAAGGAAAAACATATAGTTATCCTCTTGGCTAAGGGAAGTAGACAAAATTGCCGGGGAGAAAATTGGGATCTTGGGGGTGGGGTGGGATGGGGGTAAGGGGAGATGGGGAGAGAAAAGTTAGAAGGGAAAGAGGGGGTCCTTGGGGAAACAGGAGGATTGAGATAAAGGAAGGTTGGACAGGGGAGCACCTTGGTTTTTTTGAAACGGATCTTTCACTGGCTGCCCGGTGGTCAGCAAGTAGGCTAGGCTGGCTAGCTGGCAAGCCCTAGGGACCCACCTGTCGCTGTCTCCCCAGAACACCAGGATGACAAACATACACCACTATGGTGTGCGACCTGTCTTCCGTGGGTTCTTGGGGAGAAAACTCCGGTCCTCATGCTGATGCTCGTGCCAAGTCCTTCCCTGATTTGGCGATCTCCCTGTGCAGAAGTACACTCCTTCTGCAATGCAGTCCTCACGGTGGCCCCCGTGTAACTCATTACGTGCTGTCTCCAGATGCTTGTCCCTTTAAGGAGCTGCCATTTTCCAAGCCAACTGATTGCCGGGTATGTTGAATTGAACATCTTCTCACTTTTCTAAGCCAACTTGCGGAACGATGACTCTGTCTCTTTTCTAAGAATAATGAGAACGTCATGGATCTCTTACCACACACTTAACCTTTGTACCCATGGCAACGGGTTTTGTTTTCCTTGTGAATCCTCCAAAGATTCAGCAAGCTCACCTTGAACTTCCTCTCCAGGTCTCAGGGTCCCCCATCTGGGGATGGGGCCCTAGCTTGACTTGAGGTTGTCTGGGGGTACGTGAGTCACTGTTTCTCTCCCTGCTCATTCACTTTTTGGTAGCTTTTCCAACTCACACAGACCATGGCAATCTTTTCAGGGCTCCTACAGGGGTTCCAGCTTGTTCCATGGAGCAGCTCAGATCATCTCTAACACTGTCTCCAGGACCTTTCCATGCCCGCTAAAGACAACTCTCTTGTCCTCCTGTCTCTCCAGACCAAATGCTCCCAGGCATTCCCCTGCCTCCCTGTTCAAATGAGTCACAGCCCGCTGATGGGAGAGCTAGAATGCCAGATTTCCCATTCCCAAACCTGTCTTTCTTCTGAAACCTTTCTGCAGTTTGGAAGTACTGATAAATATCTCGGTGTGTTCATTTTCCTACTTTGTGTGGCTCTTTGTGGTTTAAACATGACTTTCACAGGTGTTCTGCCACCTATAAGGCAAGCCATAGCATCTCTATTTCATACAAATGGCGACGCTCAAGTCCAGGCTAGACACCCTGAGTGTGGTCCCCACAGGCAGTAGCGATATCTGTGAGACCTGCACATTCTCAGGTCTACTTAGACCCGTAGAGCCAGAAACTCTCAAGAGGGGCCCACAGTCTGTGTAACAAGCGTTCCCTGTGAGAATCATTGCCTTAGCTGTGACAGGGTGAATTTGTTAGGTTCTAAAGAAAACCAAAATGCTGATGTACTTTAAGACACCTTAGGTGCCTCCCCCAAATCCCCCTTTCCTCTTTGCTTTGATTCTGGAAGAAGCTACCAAAGGTTTGGGGAGATGCTTTAGTGGGTGAAGCACTTGCCACAGCAATGTAAGAACCAGGCTAGAATCCCAGGAACTCACGTAAAGCTGCATGTGGTAGCATGCATGTGTAATCCCGGGGCTCTGGTGATGGGATGGAAGGTGAGGGCAGGAAAAGCCAGAAGATTCAGGGCCAGCCTGGTGGACACCATGACTGACGACCAAGAGACCCTGTCTCAAACAGTGAAAGGTGAAGGCTTGTCCTCCGACTTCCACACATGTGCTGGGTGTGACGTCACACACACACACGCACAGACGCACACATGCACGCACGTGCGCTTCTTTATCATAGAAACAGAATTAAGCTCAGGTCAATGACTGTAGGTAAAACTGTTAATATTAGCTTCCTATCTCTATAATGAAATACCTGAGATAAACAACTTATAAGCTGTTGGCTCACAGGTTTAGAAATTCTAGTCCATGGCTGTCCATGTTGTTTGGGGGTCCGTGGAGAAGTAAAGCAACATGGTAGGAGTGTGTGAGAGAGCAAATCTGCTCATTCCATGTCTGAGAAGCAAGAGAGAGAGAAGAGAGGAGGGGAGGGAAGGGGAGGAGAGAGGAGAGTGGAGGAGAAGAGAAGAGGGGGAAGAGGGGAGAGGAGAGGAGGGGAGGGGATGGGAGAGGAGAGTGGAGGGGAGAGGAGGGAGGAGAGGGGAGAGAAGAGAAGAGGAGGGGAGGGGAGAGTGGAGGAGAAGAGAAGAGGGGGAAGAGGGGAGAGGAGAGGAGGGGACGGGAGAGGAGAGTGGAGGGGAGAGGAGGGAGGAGAGGGGAGAGGAGAGAAGAGGAGGGGAGGGGAGGGGAGAGGAAGGAAGGGGAGGGGAGAGGAGGAGAAGAGAGGGAAGAGGGGACAGGAGAGGAGAGGAGAGGAGAAAGGGGAGATGAGGGGAGGGGAGGGGGCAAGAGAGGAGAGGAAAGGAGAGGAGGGGAGGGGAGGGGAATGGACAGGAGAGGATAGGAGAGGGAAGAAGGGAGAGGAGAAAGGAGAAAAGAGAGGGTAGCTAGGATCCCAGAATCCTCTCTGAAGGCACAGTACCAATGAGCTAAAAACCTCCCACAGGCCCCACCCCCTAAAGGTTCCAGTGCCTTCTATGAGTGCCCCCTGCAGACCGAGCCTTTAATATGTAGACTTTAGGGGGCATTCAGGATCTAGACTTCTCTTTTGTCTTTTGTAGATCTTATTGCTGAGGAGGTGGATAAGGAATCGTCTCTATTCAACAGAGATGTTAGCCATCAATTGTCGACTGTGAACAGAGAGATACCCCAAGAATTAGTTTCTCGAGGTAATTACTTGTTCTTAAAGCATGATCTAAGTAAGAGTCTCGAGTATGGAAGGTTCTAGAACATGTCTTTTGATTTCGTGGTATTTTAGTTGAATAGAATCAGTGTATCTTTAGTTCACCTGCAAAAGTTTGTGGAAAGCTAGTGTAGGGTCACATACCTGTAATCCCGACACTCAGTAGGCTGAGGCAAGAGGTTCATGAGTTTGAGGCCAGCCTGGGCTACATGGTGACACTGTCTAAAAAAAAAAAACAAAACAAAACACAAAAACATGCAATGCATATAGTCTTCACATTATGAGTAAAATGACTTTGAAAACTTTGACCACCTTTTCAAAAGGATTTTCATGGGTTCTCTAAAGAGCCGTGGTCATTTAGAACTTGGTGTCCTCTTCTGAGCCTTTGCCAACGCTGGGCACTGAGGCCATCCCATCTAGCATACAAGAGAGATTCAATGTCAAAGGTTAGGCTAGTCTCCTATGGTTGGGTTAACTGAGCTCAGGCTTGTTGGTAGTGGGTAGAGACTGACCCCATGCTGGTACCAGGCTCAGGACACTCTTGGGAAAGTCAAGGGGCCAGGGGTCTGCAGCTCCCAACAGTCTCTCCATACAGCCACTCCATACCTTTCAGCAATTAAACACCAAGGCTGACAGTTGGGGTTCAATCCTCCAGACCTGCATGGTAGAGAGAGAGAACTGACTCCCGTAAATTGGCCACATGCATGGATGGCATGTGTGTGCACACATAAAATAAAATGTAACTTTAAACTTTCGAGTGCTGAGTTCTCCCAGCAGAGCCCCCAGAGAGACTTACTGATACTCATGGTGCAGCTGGGATGAAGGGTCTGGCTCCAGCTTCCCCCCATAACCTACAAAAGCCTTTGGGCAGCATCCTCCTGCCTGCATCATCCCACTCTCTTCAGTGTCTCTCCTCACTGAACCGGCTAATTCCTGTCACTGTCTCCTTCTCCCCACTCCCCGACTTCCCCTCTTCCCTTGCCTAGATTACAAATGAAATTCAGATGCTCCTGAGTCCCTTAATGTCAGCTGGGAGCTCCTTCCTTTGAGATCTAACCGTGAGTTTTTGTACTTCAAACCAACAATTGGTGGCATTACAAAGCCACCCTCACGGTTTCTCAAAGTCCCTAGAGGGCTGTCAGAAGTTGGGGTCATCTCTGGCGATATCAACTGCAGGGTGGGGCAGTCACGAGTCTCTCAAGCTACAAGCTTGATCAGTTTTTTCATCACTGTGGCAAATACCTGTGAGGAACAAATTCAGGGGGAAAGGGTTTGTTTCAGCTCTGGATTTTGGAGGTGCGGGTCTACAGTCAGCTTCCCCCTTGTTCTGAGGCTCTGATGAGACAGAACACTGTGGCAGAAAAGCCTTGTGGAGAAAAGCCATGGCTACATGCTGGGCAGAAAGCAGAGAAAATTTCCCCCACGTTGACTGGCTTCCTCTTTCCCCATCTTTATTCCATTTAGGCCCTCATTTATTGGATGGTACCACCCAAATTCAGGATGGATCTCCCCACATCTGTCACTGTCTCTCAAGTCAACCATTTCTGGAAACACCTTCCCAGACACACACCCTCCCAGACACCCCCCCCCCCACATACACACGGCGGCGGGGGGGGGGATGCCTATTCTAATCTCTTATGTGTCTCTTAGTCATATCAAGATCACAGTCACAACCTACAATCCTAACCCCCACAAGGCAGACTGCATATATAGTAGTTTCTAGAAGCTGGTGGGGCAGGGAGGAGAGGGCAGCAGAGAAATGTTTCTGCCCCGTCAGAAACCTTCACTCAATATCTGACATTGTTGTCCTGTTCCTCATGCTGGAGATTTAACCCAGTGCTTCCTGCATTTGAATCAAGTGCACCACCATCCACCTGCACCCCCAGCCCCACCTCCGTTATTCTCAAAGCCTTTGAAGTAGGACGTTCCTGCCTCCCTGTGGACCTCACTTCTGGTCTTCTTGCTTCCCACACACTCTGGTTTATTGAACCTTCTCCATGGATTGTGTTGCTGCTTGCCTGCCCACACCCTCAGCATCTCAACTTGTCGCTGGTGACAGGGCCAGCCACTTCCCCAGCTGGACTTCTGAAGCTGCCTGACATGCGAGTGTATCTACTTCTGCTCTGAGTTTCGGGGCTTGGTTGTGGGTCACCTGGAGGGATGGTTGAGGCTGCCTCTTGATACTCTCCTTGTGTCTCCCGCTTAGATGCTCACACCAATCCTTGTGTCTCCCGCTTAGATGCTCACACCAATCCTTGTGTCTCCCGCTTAGATGCTCACACCAATCCTTGTGTGTCCTGCTTAGATGCTCACACCAATCCTTGTGTGTCCTGCTTAGATGCTCACACCAATCCTTGCATCTCCTGCTTAGATGCTCACACTGATCCTGTGTCTCACTCTTAGATGCTCACACTGATTCTTGTGTCTCCCGCTTAGATGTTTACACTGATCCTTGTGTCTCACTCTTAGATGCTCACACTGATCCTTATGTCTCCCGCTTAGATGCTCACACTGATCCTTGTGTCTCCCGCTTAGATGCTCACACTGATCCTGTGTCTCCTGCTTAGATGCTCACACTGATCCTGTGTCTCACACTTAGATGTTCACACTGATCCTGTGTCTCACTCTTAGATGCTCACACTGATCCTTGTGTCTCACACTTAGATGTTCACACTGATCCTGTGTCTCACGCTTAGATGCTCACACTGATCCTTGTGTCTCACTCTTAGATGCTCACACTGATCCTTGTGTCTCACTCTTAGATGCTCACACTGATCCTTGTGTCTCACGCTTAGATGTTCACACCGATCCTTGTGTCTCCTGCTTAGATGTTCACACTGATCCTTGTGTCTCACACTTAGATGTTCACACTGATCCTTGTGTCTCATGCTTAGATGCTCGCACTGATCCTTGTGTCTCACTCTTAGATGCTCACACTGATCCTTGTGTCTCCTGTTTAGATGTTTACACTGAGAGTCTACCTTGCAGAGAGCTGCTGAGCTTCCTGCAAAAGAACATCATCACTGCAGCCGCTGCTGTGGCTGCAATCCTCCTGGTCACAATATTGGTGGTGCTTGCGTTGGTCACATACATAAGGCGGAAGAAGGCCAGGTTAGTGGCTCTCGGCATCCATCCCATCTTCCTTTTAAGAAGTCGGGAACGGTGGTGGTGGTGGAGAGATGGCTCCGATTCCGTTCCCAGCACAGGGTGGCTCATAGCCATCTGCAGCTCCGGTTCCAAGGGATCTAATCTAGTCTTCTGGTCTCCAGAGCACTGCATGCATGTGGTATTTGCTGGCAAAACACCCATACCTGTAAGATAACGAGAAAAGAAAAGAAACCGAGCAATCAACTCAGGGAGTTTGAAACACAGTTGCTTCTTGAAGATCCCAGATGTAAGAGGAAGGCAGGAACGTCTTCCTGTTGGGCCTCAGCATCTCCCAGCATGCTTGATAAAAGTTCCCAGGTGAGCTGGGCGGAGATGGCGCACGCCTTTAATCCCAGCACTCAGGAGGCAGAGGCAGGCAGATCTTCGTGAGTTAGAGGGCAGCCTGGTCTACAAGAGCTAGCTCTAGGACAGGATCCAAAGCTACAGAGAAACCCTGTCTTGAAAACAAACAAACAGTTCCCAGGTGGTGGGTTTCAGCACCATCTAGCAATTCTGAGGCACACCGGGGCTTTGGAGTCTCTGACTTGGGCTATGTGTGCCTCTCAAGGCCATGCAAGTCTGAGAGAAAACTGAAGGGGAAATGGCAGAGAAGGGAAACTAGGACTGTATTCTGCCCCTCCCCTACCCAAACAAGATTCCTCTATGTAGCCTTGGCTGTCCTGGCACTCACTTTGTAAGTTCCAACTGTCCTGAAATTTGCTTTGTAGACCAGGCTGGCCTTGAACTCGGAGACCCAGCTGCTTCTGCCTCCTGAGTGCTGGGATTGAAGGCATATGCCACCATCCCAGGCTATGGGAACTAGGGCTCTAGGTGTGGGAAAAGCCAAAGCATGGCTCTCGGAAGGTGTGAATGGGCAAGATGGTGGAGAAGAGACCAAGGCTGAATTCACACCATGAAGTCTCTTCACACTGGTTCAGCTGCCTGCTTAGACTACGGAGGTGTGGTTCTGCTAGCTGCTAAATAGCCGCTTTCTAGAACCCGGCATGGCCCTGTAAGTGATGGGCTAATGCCTGGCAGGAGTCTTCAGGGACAAGGAGAAAAAGGGTTCAGGCACAGACGGAACCTTGAGCAGACATAACTCGAGAGAGTGTCATATGCACGGTCACCTTCAGAATTGCGAGCCCCCGCTACATCCTTGGAGCCACACATCCCTTACTGACTGCTGAGGACAAGAAGCTCCCTCAGGCCACCCCCAGCTCTGGCACTCTTCTTGTCCATTTCCTTTGGCTCCGAGGCTATAGTAGTTAAATGTCCCCATGAGAGAGTGTCACTGTCTTCTCTAAATGCCAAGGCCATCTGGATGGAAGGCCTAACCAGGCTAGCTGGCAACCACTTCACATCCAGCTAACGCTCCTGACACAGGTATGGGGCTCTTTAGGCAAAGTGGAAGGGAGCTCAGATCTAAGGGCTTCTGAAAATAATCTTTGCTCACTTTATAACCCTGACCAGGGTCCATCCTTGGACCAGACATTTTCTCTCAAAAAGAACTGGTTAGGATGGTTGGCTCCATCCCAAAAGGACAAGCTGGGGCTGAGGATGAAAAGCTGCGGAGGAGGAGTTTCCCAGAGGCACCTTGCGGCCCTGGGTCACAGGGAAACATCATCCAGGATAGACCTTCCCTGAGGAAACATCCTCCTGCCCCATTTAACGGGGTGGACAGTGAGGCTTCCTGTGTATTTAGTGAGCGGTGTGGTGTTTCTTCTTCGTTTTAGGTATCCAGCAGCAAACATGACATACAATATTTTTATAATGAACGGGAAGGCTTGGTGGCAAAAGCCCGAGGAAAGGTACATCAAAAAATTCACAGGAAAGCAGAAACTCCTGAAGTGTAATTCCTCCGTCTAAGCCGGTGGAGGAGTCAGCAAACTGTCAACAAGCCACTGCCGGAGGGTTCTTTTGCGCTGCCTGGACAGAAATGGAGGGTAGGCAAACTGTTCTTCAAAAGCTGGTCTCAAGAGTAGGTGGGGGAAGCAGTGGCAGGTGGCGCCCCGAGTGGTAGCGTCTCTTGCAAGCCTCAGATGTAAGCTCTCGACCACTACCAGAGCTATAGTTCTCAGCCAGGGGGTTGAGATCCTGGACCCTGAAGACTTTACAATGTCACATCTACTCCTACATCCTGTCTTCCTTCTGCTGTGCCACTGGGGAACCCTTCAGCTGCTCCCTCAGTTGTTGGTGCTGTTGCCAGGATGACCTGGGGAGGGTTCCTGCCTCTGTCGGGAGCTAGGGCTACAGGTGGGCTATTCAGAAACTAGATGCTGGGAACCGCTGGCATCATTCAGCACGGGTATCCTTTCCCACTAAGAGCAGTATCTTGGTTGACTGGTGGGATTCCTAGCCTGGATCCTTGGCCAGTCCTGGGCAACAGTGCCATAGAGCTAGGTTGGCTCACGCCTGTACCCACAGCCTGCTGGCGAGTAGGCCCGAGGCTTCAGTGGGTGAGCAGCTACTTTAGCTGTTGAATGGCACACCAAGGTTTCCACAATGTCACTCCTTCGTGGACCAGTGACAAGTGGGTACCAGTCACAAGCTCGGCCCCAGTTCTAGACATATCAGTCCCACTAAGATGAAGTGAAAAAATGAGGACAGGGACAAGATTTGAGTCAGAGGGATGAGATGTGACCAGAGAACAAGGTCAGAATCAAGATGGGGCAACCCCTGCTTAAAATCCATGGGAGAGACACTGCATGAGGCTCTAAACCCAGGGGCATGGCCAGACGCAGCTCTGGAATAGAAGGTGTTAGCAAGGGTTAGGTAGGCCAGGGCTAGGCGGGCTAGAGGAGATGGGAAAACTGCCTGCATGGCAAGATGGGTATAGCTCACAGGCAGGAGGCCTTCTCTGCTGTTTCAGTCCCAGCACAGGTAAGGTTAGGTTGGGTTACTGTAGGGAGTGGGGTGTTGTTCAGGGGAATGGTGGAGTAGGCAGGGGCAGGGCGGACCCTGGCTGAGTGGTGGTCCCTGGTGTTGTCACTGGCATGCTTGTAGCTAGTGGGGGGGCAGCCAGTGAGACTGTGAGGTCCTGGCTGATTCTTCATGCAAGGATGGGGGTCCTTAGTTAAAATCTCCAAAGAGGTGGGGAAGAGTGGTGGAGAGGCCCAGAAATAGTCCAGTCAGGGCCCGAGGGTGGGGCTTGTAGACTTGTTCATGTGGCTCTAAAGACAAAGAGCCCCGAGAAGATTCTATGCAGCTGTTTGCCAAGTAGAAGAGTCGGCCCACCTCAAAAATGTGCTTTAGCTTAACCTGGCCAGTAAGTTCAAAACTGCCCCAGTGGTGGCCATGCTGAAGTCACACATAGCCTAATGTGTTAGACAGAAGGTGTTCTGCCAAGATCCCAACCCAGGAGATCAGAAGCCGAGTCCCAGTCCATAGGGCATCCTGCATGCTCCCTCCTTGCTGATCTCCCTGGGGTTCAAGCAAATGAGGTGCAGGGCAGGAGGGGGAGAATTGCCATGAAGGGGAGCAGGGAAGATAGGAAATTTGGAGCCGGGCATGTAGGGAAAGGAAATCTGATTGACGAGTGGGGTGAACTTGGGAGAGGAGGTGGGGTTGGCTCCCCACCAGCGTCAGCAACTGGTATTTATGGGACTGGTTCCCACTCAGACAAGCATTTAATGGACACCCCTCTGTCCAGACACAGTGGCCAGTGTCCCTCCCTGTGGCAGTCTCTCCTCATGGCTGACCTGCATGGGTCTGGCCTTTGTCTCCTGTGAGGTGAACATGATCCTCCTCCATTCCACAGTCGAGTCAGAGTGGGATGGGGTAGTCTACAGAGGCTCTGCGGCCAGACTGTGACTGTGAGGTTGGCCATCACAGGACCAGAGGCAACAGGTGACAGCTGTAATGGGGCCTGACTCAGAGGGACTGCCTGTCTGAGCCCCACAGTTCTAGGTGTTCCACGGGCAGAGAGCCGGATCCAGCTGGATTCTGGTACTGGTCTTCCCCAGGCTTCCATTTCCTCATTCTGACAATAGAGGAAATAATTGAGCACCTACTGTATGCAGGCACTATGCTGGGCTGGAGACGCTATAAAGAGTAGGGACTGGGACCCTTCTGAGCTTGGATGAGATGTCCCAGTCTGGTCATGTGCCCCCTCCCTCTGCTTCATTCCAGCCTCTGGGCTCCCAATTCTGAGCAGCAGCCCACCCCCACCCAGATCTCCTGTCCCATTTCTGGGCTTTGCCTTCTGTAGGAGAGCACCCCTTGCCTGTGGGCCTGTGGGAGCGAGCCCACAACTGTCTACTTCATTTTCACCTTTCCCAAAGGGATCCCTTTCACCTTATTTTCCCCTCATTTGGTGGGAGCCCAGTCCCTTTATCCCTGTGTGGCTGAGTCAACAGATGGCATGGGGGTTTAGAGTCCAGCCCAGCGATGGCTCTGTTCTCTCTCTGCTTTCCGCCATGTCCCAGGAAAGTCTCCTGTCTGTTTCCTCTTGGCCTGTTTCTCTCTATAACATGGGCTACATCCTTTGTGAGGCTGTTGTATCACATGAACCCTTACCTAGGACTTTTTTATTTATTTATTTATTTATTTATTATTTTCGAGACAGGGTTTCTCTGTAGCTTTTGGTTTCTGTTCTGGAACTAGCTCTTCTAGACCAGGCTGGCCTCGAACTCACAGAGATCCGCCTGCTTCTGCCTCCTGAGTGCTGGGATTAAAGGCATGTGCTACCACCGCCCGACTGTTTTTTTTTTTAAGCTGTTATGATCATTCTGCAAGATATTGGTTCTCTGCCTTCCCAGAATCCTCTGCATTCCTTCCAACCACCCGTGCCTGACCTGGCCACTCCCACACTCTTTCACTGGCTCCAGAGACTAGTTGGGAATCACTATTCAGAGACAGAGATGGAACCCACTCAACCTGTGAGCTGTGTTGGGGGTATTTTCAGGTAATACTGAGAAAAATCCCTTCTCTTTGCACAGAACTTGAAGTAACTCCCTATCTCGAAGCCCAGGAAGAAAATGCAACAGAGAGAGAAGCCAACAGGTGGGAGGTGACAACCCTGCAGCCATCAGTGGAGCCCAGAGCAGGTTGCCCTGAAGCCCATCCCTGGAATTTTCAGCTACTTATGCAATAATTACCAAACACAATTTTTAGTCTTGTTTGTTTGTTTTTCGAGAGACTTGTATATCCCAAGCTGACCCCAGACTCCCTATGTAACCAAGGATTACCTTGAACATCTGAGATTACATTTTCGTAGGTGTGCATTGTTGTGTGTGGGCATGTGTACCCACAGAGGCTGAAAGAGGGTGTTAGATCCCATGGAGCTGTCTTGAGTGGGTGCTGGGAGCTGAACACAGATTCTCTGCAGGAGCAGCACACACTCTTAGCCACCAAGCTGTCTGTCTCTGCAGTCCATACTTAGAACTTCTGGTCTGTACCTCCTAAGTACTGGGACTACAGGTATGTACCACTGTGTGGTGCTGTGGTGTTGGGATGGAACCTAGGGCCTTGTGCATGTTAAGCAAATACTACCAATTGAATTATATTCCCGGCCTCTCAAACACTCCAGTTACCAGTGTAATGGTAAAAATAAAATGGCACAATTCCCAAGGGGCAGCAGTGGGCAGTGGGCCACAAGGGGCAGCGGATCCCAGGTAGGGAGCTGCATGGCGGGTGAGAGAGTTTGGTGGGTCAGCTGGTCCCATGAGGAGCCGTGGTGGATGAGAGACAGAGCTGGATAGGCACCCTGTGCAGAGAAAGTGGGTATTTATTTAGTGGGTTATGAAGGGGAAAGGAAGAAGGGGGAAGAGGAAAGAGAGAGAAACAAAGAGAGAGGAGGGGAAAGGGGAGAAGGGGAAAGAGCAGAGAAAGGCAGAGAGAGAGAGAAAGAAAGAGAAACACGGGGAGAGAGAGATGGAGGGAGGGAGGGAGGAGGGGGAAGAGGAGAAGGGGGAGAAGGGAGAGAGGTAGAAGCTGCCTCTTCGGGAGAGAGACAGAAAGGAAGGAGCTCAGGCTGGAAGCAGAAGGAAGATCTGCTTGCCTCAGTGGAGGGGGGGAGTGGGTGGGGCTTGTCTCTTAAAGGGACTGGACAGACCATTACAACAGGGCTAGAGACCGCACCTCACAACACATTCCTGTCCCATTTACTGTTCCCTCTTCCCCACACCTATTTCATTGTCTCCTGTAGCCTCTTGGCTCTAGGTGTCTCCTCCGTGAGTCCTGCCCTGATCCGTATTGCAAATGACCCGCCTATAGCTAGATCTTCCACTTTCTAGTGTTTTCCTCCTCAGTGCTGACACACTCCGTGGAACACTTCATCCTTTTGCTAGGTCTGTCTCTCCATCAGAGTGTCACCTCCAAGGGAAGAGATCAGCATCTGCAGTGGCTACAGCAGGCCCTTGGTACCTTGGCCAGGGATAAGCTGACCTGTAGGTGAAATGGGTATTGGACTCAGAGACTCTGGCAGCTGCCACGATGGTTTGGAGGTTGCAGAAGGAGCCAGTCATCTGACGAGCCCTCAAGGAGGGCACAGCAAGTGGTTGCTGGGACCAGTCAGTTCTCTTTAGACTTATTAGCTTGGGTTTATTTGCCTGGGGATGACGGTCACTTCCTATCTTTAACACCGCCTCCCACATGGTGCTTGGCAGCTTTCAGTACTTCAGAGTTGCCCCTAGAGGGCGCAAGGGAACACTGGGGCTGCACGGCATAAATTGTGGGAACTGGACGGTGATGTTGATGAGGATGGCAACAGTGGGAAGTGCGTTAGTCAGGGTTCTATAGAGTAATAGAACTCATAGAACGAATTTCTCTCTCTCTCTCTCTCTATATATATATATATATCCCTTTATATATATATAAAGGGGATTTATTGGACTGACTTACAGGCTGCAGTCCAGCTAATCCAACAA